ACAAATTCATTGTTAACTGCACCCATCCTAGGGCAAGGGTGTTGCCTCTTTTGTTTTCTGTAATGTGCTTACAGGGGTTTTTAATCTTTTTCTGCTTCTGAAGCTGTTCTGTTTTGTTTTTCTTAAGCACCTTTATTGTGCTTGTGATCTTGTCAGATTCCATTGACAGGGTGTTTCAAAAGAGAATTTCTATTGCAAGGACCTCAATTTCAGATGAGTTGCCTCTGCCCAGGGGATAGGCTGCATACACAAAAGAGATTAATCTGATTACTGGTTGGGCCTTAAATAAGGACTGCAAGATCAAGCATGAGGTACTTAAAATTGGTTTTGAGTATTTTGGTATGTTTTCTTAGGCTGGATATGCAGGCACAAGAATCCCCATTGTGGAAAAGACACCAGCCAGCCTTATGATTAATGCAAGACATTTCCTGGCATTCTTTACACTTGAAAGGAAAAAAAACTGGTGGCATGGGAAAACACAAACCATCCGCACTGTTGGCAATGTGCGAATACCGCATCCTACACCTACTGCGTAGGAATGCAGTGTAATCATTCAAAACGTGTTTGTGCCATGCAGCATCAGAAGGTTACCAAACCTTCTGGTGGCTGATTCATATGCAAATAACCATGCAGAGCGCTGTTCAAATCCACTCTTCGTTACCTCTGGCACATTGGGGTACTCTAGGTGCAATTTGCCACACGGTAGCGTAGGGTTGCCCTTGTGGAGACAAGGTGCCTTTGCCATCCTGTTAGTAAGAGCTATTTGTGGTGCCGTGCGTGTATTCAGGTATCTGCAGGTATTGCCAGCAGTGCTGCTCGGCGAGGGTCACCGAGGAGCCTGCTGCAGCAATTCTGCTGCTGGTGCTTCTGCAGACAGCGGCAGAGAGCTGCTTCTGATCAAATCACTCCCCTGGGAAAAGAACCCTGGGGGTTAGGTGGGTAAGTGAAACCGTGGCTCCCTCTCAGTAGCCACAAGTACTTCCCTCTGGTTTCAGAAGTGTGGACGAACACTTGCGGCTTTAGTTATTGCTTTAGTCTCGACAAATCTAATCAACGTTTTGATATTATGAACAAGAACACCCCTCGTGACTGTTTGCCAAAGTCTGGTTTATCAGCCACGAAGGTGAGCTGTTTCATGTTGCTCCTGCTACTTCACAGATTTTGCAAACAATAGCTCTGAATTTTCTTTAGGAATGTAACACAACAGTTTAATTACATCATGATGTTAACACCCTTTATCACGTCTTAAATGGTCTGATATCTGATATGACACAAAAAAGCACATTTTTATTAAGGTTGCCAAATCCTAATTACTGCAGCTAACAAGTGTTTAATTAAACCAAGATATCAATATTAAAGAATTAAAAAAAAAAAAAAACAACAAAAAACAGATCATTGTTTCCAGTCACCTCTAGTTTTAGGTTTTGGGTACATTTTATGACGGTAAATACGGAACCTACAAAGAACAGCCTTTCTTGCAGGGAGTAGTCAAACCTAATTCTCATGGAATGCTTGTTTCCCAGTAAAATACCACTAATTCAAGCCAAGTTCCAAGTTTCTTTCTGTCGGAACAATGCAAATGACATTTTCAAGAAAGAATGGAAGCCCTGGTCTTGCATGGATTTGTGGGAAAGACTTGCACTTGTGCACGTAAAAATGACACATGGTTAAATAGGATGATGCATTCTCAAATGTTACCAGCCTTCTGATCTAGGATGACACAAACTTGAACTAAACGTTTTTCTTTTTTACATTCTGATTTTTTTTTTCTGTCTCCTTTAAAAACAAGAGGTTGGATTCATAGTGTTTGTATAGAGACTGGTAGGAACCTATGTGCTTTACAAAAGAGTAACCCTTTAAGACTGTAAACACAGTTAATTTGAAATACGGATTTGCCTTAATGGTTCAGGAAAAAAAATAAAGTGTTTTTAAAAGTGAATTTTACGACTTGTGCTGATCTTTTATTTCTAGGGAAGTAATTCACTGTAATGTCATAGGTTTGAGACAAACACGCTCCTTACCCTCTAATGGATGCCTCTTGCACGTTATCCAAAGCAGCTGCCAAGTCTTAACTGAGTCCTTCATTCAGTGACCATGCCTGCATGAGTAACTTTTATGTACACAAAAGTAGTTGTGTTCTTTACCCTCGTACAACCACTTGTGATCTCACCTGATAACTTGTGTAAATGTTTGCAGTTGAGACCTGAGGATGGTGACACCCGTCGTCACTCCTTCCACAACAGTACCTGTGGCACAAATGTGTCTTTTGTGCTGCTCTGCTGCACAAATGGTTTTGCCTTAACCTGATTTGCCTTCATTTGGTATATACAAAGCCCTGCTTCAGAAACTCTCAGCTGCTTAACATTATACCAGGGAGTAATCGTGCTCATTTTTGTACTAACAAGAGTAGATAAGCAACCTTTGTTGGGATTGTTGCCAAGATTGTTTTGGGTTAGCATCAAGTATCTGTTAACAAATTGTATTAATTATGTTTGCTACATAATGTGTGTATTGCAAGGACATTTTGAAGGTATCTTTAAAGTGCCGATGCTTACAGATTTACTGTTAGACACACCTTTTAAGTTAGGAATGTGTGTGCAACATACATATATACATTGCATCCATAATATATTTATTATAATATATATATTTTTTTCATCAGTTTTTCTGCTGACCCACAGTCCTGCTGTGTGCTTCCATTTTCACTGACTGTATGACCAGTTTAAGACATCTGGTCGAGTTTTTGCCCAGAGAAGCTGTGGCTGCCCCATCCCTGGCAGTGCTGAAAGCCAGGTTGAACAGGGCTTTGAGCAACCTGGTCTAATGGAAAGTGTCCCTGCCCACGGTAGGGGGCTGGAACTGGGTGAGCTTTAAGGTCCTTTCCAACCCAAACCATTCTATGGTTCTGTAACTTCACAAACACTGAATCCACTTTTACATGTAGTGTAGCATGCTAACTAATTTGATGAGCATAGCTTCAATGTGTCGCAGATCACTGTTTTCCGTCAAGAATCTGGGAATTTATTAAGCTGATAAAACAGTGATGAAACCAAATTGCAAAGGTTGTTCTTATCTTGAAGAGTAGGCCTTGTGGCTGGTAAGTTGGGCATGTTGGCATTTGGCCCATGAAATCCCATATATATCAGAATTATGATACCGAGACCATAATGCTCATGTTCAGTGGGAATATGAGAACATGGAATACCTAATTTTTAAAAGCTGGGCACAGATGGTAATCCTTTGTCATTCCAGGAAACACAAAGTTGCATATAGGTCAGCCTTCTTTCCCGAAAACATGGACCAGAGGTGACAGAACGTATCTGATGGCCCTGGGCTACTGAACTACTTTGTGGTACTTGCTGGAAGTGTGCTTTTCTTTACCTAAAAGGTATGCAGAACCACGTACTGTGAAGCAGAGGTATCCTTAACTTGGCTTTTTGCACTCTACTCGAGATAGATGAGTTGTACTAGGCCAAAGTAAAAAGTCTGTAGTTACAGATTCTGTTACCTTTCAATGCGTGAGTCTACTCCATCTCCACCATTAAGCTGTGGTTCAACTTAATAAGTACTTAAAGGCAGGGTCAATTCTGAGGGCTTAAAGTGATTCTTATATTTTAGCATGATGGCAAAGATAATGATTATGATTAAGTTAACTGCATTTTTCTTAAAGGGCAGAGAGGAGGTTGAACAAGAAGAATAGCTCAGAGACATGAGATACTTCCCAGCACATTAGTGGGTGCATTTCCCAGTGCCAAAATAGATTTGGCATCATACAACCAAAAGGCACATTCTCATTTAGATGGGAACTGTGCTAGCCAGGCTTTTAAAACCTATTTTCAAACTAAGAGTTAAGATGCAACCTGCTGCAAGCATTGTGAAATGCAGGAAATAAAATGTTTTAGAAAAACATTTGCTGGTATAAACATATTATGTGATCTCATGTAACTGTTGCTTTCTGTCAGCTTGATTATAACACTAGAATTTTAAGATGGAAAAGTGCTGTAATTCTTTTTTGAGCATCTCTCATTCTCTTTACAGTTGATGTTTTAGCATGGGATGTCCTTCTGTTACTCGTACAGGGCAGATAGTTACACTACAGCTTTTAAGCAGATAGGTACACTTACAGTTTTTTGGTGTGCTTAACATGAAAATGAAATTTCCAATTTTATATAAATTTAATATCACTTTCTTTAAAAGAATAGGCTCTTGTTACTGCAAAAAGAAAGCTGAAATACTGATTTTTTAAATGTATCTTTTTCCCCACAATTAAATATATATATTTTATGTCTTAAGGCTTCTAAGAGGTTGAAAAGGGTATGAATAAGTCCATTATTGCTTCTCTAGTAACTGCAAGAAAATCCAGTCCTCGACAGAGGACACCAATATACTAGGTTCAGAAATTAAGATAATTTTAGGATACCAAAATAGCTTAAAGCTCTAAAAATAACTCACTGAAATAATGTTGATTTCTTTTAACAGACACACGGTTCATTCTACTAAAATGATCAAGTTTAGATGCTGACGTACGACAAATGATGGGGATGGAAGAGCTGAGCAAAGAGATGTTAACCAAGGCATTAACGGGTTCTGAACCACTGGCCAACAAAAGCTTGAGTAAACACATGATTTCATGGTGAGGGAGCATTCTAGACATATCCTTAAGGTGTGGGACTATGTGGTTTTTACATAAATGCCACTTAATCTTCCCTGTAATTAAGACAAAGTCAGCATAGATAATTGTGAACCTAATTTTTGAGCTAAACAAACTGCCGTTTTCCCAACAGACTGAACCCCCTATTCTCACTGCAGTTTAATTGCCCAGTTCAGGAAAGAATTAAACTTATTAGATGAACTTTTCTATTTCCAGACTAACTGATGTGACAGTGAAAAGGAAGTCAGCTTTACTTGTAAAAGATAAACCAGGTATGTTAAGGATCCTCTCCTGTTGCTGTATTTATATGGGCTTAGAAGATTGAGGGGAAAACTACTGCAACTGCAAGTAACTTGTATCTTTCTTTTATTATTATACTGGTATTCTATTACAAGATCACCTACTTTTAGAAGTCTAATGCTGTGATAGTATTGATATTCTAATCTTGAAGAATCTAGGTATTGCTATGGGCATCTGTGACATTTTCTTGTAACTATTTTATTTTAGACTTAAAAATAAAGCTTTGAATTCCATGCTTAATGTAATCTTATCAGGGCAGCTGTGTCACGTTAACAATTGGTGTACACTGACATTCTTGGACGTATACTGAATTAAGCCAGAGAAATCTGTCCCAGATTTTCATAACACTGTAGGAGTGTCAAGAACAATACAAAACATTAAACTAACAAATGTGAAAACTGGGACATGGTTCCTATCCTATACACTGCTCAGTTTTTTACTACATGCGCTTTGCATGATGACAACAGGCTTGTCTGCCTTTCTTTCTGGCTCTTCAACACCTTCAGGCCATACTGCTTGCACTTCAGTCGCTGCATGACAATGTTTGAAGCCAAGCCAATTGTAAGGAAATGTGTAACTGTGTTCTGTAGTAGTGAGATGATGAAGGTCACTTCTTTAAAAGGAGCAACATGATAGTCTCCAAAGGGAAAGAGGAGAAACCCTGGCCAAAGAACTGTCTCTCTTGGTTGTTCAGTATTTATGTTCTTGTATCCGGTTTTTTGCAGGAGGATTTTTCTTGGGCCTTCCTTTTATCCATATCTTCTTGTATTTCCAAAGGAAAGGCTTTTAGGTTTTCATTCACACAAGGGAGGCAGAACCTTTTCGAGTAGAACAGACTACATTCCTGTAAAGAAAGTAACATTATTAGCAGGATACACAAAATGGAACTGCTTCCATTCCAGTCTCATTAAAACACATTTATATTTAGAATTATTCTAAATTAAAGTCTTCTTCTAGGTTGAAATATTCCAGCAATTTTTCTTCTTCCTATTAAATAACTAACCTCTGGTTAGAGCTAACTGATTTAAAAACAAAAATGTTGGGTCTGTAACACTGCTAACCAAACCAGTTGTGAATGAAACCTGTCAGATCATAGCATTATTCCACTTCAAGGGCAGGGAAAATACCTTCTTTGTGTACAACAGCTTTTATACTTTGCCATGAAAAGTTCAGAGACATCAGCTCAAGCTTTAGCACCATGTATGTTTTTAGTTTCTAATCAGTGAGTACATTTATTCAAGGTAAAGGTGGGTAATGGATGAAATCTCAGTTTAATTGTCTCAGCCAATTCACACTACAGAGTCTGGGCAACTGGAAGAGAAGCTTATTAAGGTATTATTCCTTTGCCCTGCAGCAAGACTGAAGTACATGCTTCTCCCAGCATGCTGATCACTAAATTCCAAATAGGATTTAATGGGTAAGCTGGTCCTGGTATTGCTGATGGATTATTCTTGGGGATTTAAGCATGAATAACGATATCAATTTAGATGGCTGAGGACATCTTTTGGGGAGTAATGGATTCCATTGCATTTTTGCTAAACAGCAAAGTTTTCTCTTGCCATGGTCATTTTTGGCTGGCCTTTCTCTGGGGGCTTGGCTTGGCTATTTCTGTGCTTCTTCCTTTTGTATCCCTTGTCACTACTGAGACTTTAACAGTACGATTTTATCACAACTCTATCAGCCTGCTTCTGTGCAACTTCCAAGCCCAAGGAACAACTCTTCTTCATCCATTGTCCGTTTCTGCGCTGACTGCCAGGCACCTTCGTATTGAGAGCTAGTGTGAGGACTTGGTCTCTGAAAAGCCCTGAAACTGGATTTCAGTTGCACAACCTCCAGAGCCTATTGTTTTTTGTCTCTTGGTATCCCTAATACTTTAAGCTGCCAATTAAAAGGGAAGATTAGAGTTTAAGTTGGCCATGCTATTCTTGTTTGTATTGCAAAATGACACACAGCTTCCCCTGCCTCCAGGTTAAGTTCATGGCTCCACAATGATGGCCACTGTGCCACCAGGCAATAACAGAGCAGGGGAGAGGCTTTACTTCTGTTCTGCAGATGGGGAACTCCGATAAGGCACAGCTCCTCACAGATTTAGAGGTGCTCAATTTACATTCTTCTAGCTGAAATAAGCTGCCAACTTTGGCCAGTGGGACTTAGACAAATGATGAATATGAACCACTGCATATCTGAACGCTGGGCCCATTACTGTAGAGTCATGAACTTAACCTGGAGGCGGGCTGTGGAATCAGAGTGCTATGGCACTGGAACAGGTTGCCCAAGGAAGTAAGTGGTGAATGCTCCATCCCTTGTAGTGTTCAAGGCCAGGTTGGACAGAGCCTTGGGCAACACGGTCTAGAGTGAGGTGTTCCTGCCCACGGCAGGTGGATTGAACTAGATGAGCTTTAAGGTCCTTTCCAATCCAAACCATTATGTGATTCTATGATTATTCAGCCTAGCTGTTGTTTTAAAACCCTACAAATTACCCTTACTATGTATAGACAAGCCCTTCTTTGACAATTATCCTGATAGACTTCAGTGCTTAACTGGAAAATTCTTTAATAGGTTTCACCTCTTCCATGACCAAGGCAGGACGAGGCCATTTCAATTTCAAACTTAACAATCTGGTTCAGGCAAAACTGTGCTGACAAAGCAAACTGCCAGAGTTTATTTCTGTTGTGACATGGATCATGTCTAGAAGTAATATATACAGGGATAGTATCTTTATCACACTTGTAAAGGAAGTTGCATGTAAAGGAAAGGTTCTGCCTAACCGTGTCCAGGATTGACCCTGCATGACTGGAAGTCGAGTGGAAAGTAGCTGTAGAGTTACATTTATCACTTAATACCTACAGTCATGTCCAAGGTCAGTATGTAGTCACTGTCTGCTGAGGTGAGCAATAAGAGATGAAACTTGCTCCCTGTCCTACTTTCTTCTCCAAAAGACACCTCTTTTCCTATGTTTAATGAGTGTTGCAATAAAAAAGAAATAACTGTTTTAAATTACTAATATGGTGAAATGGTATCACTTCCTCTTCTGTTTTCTGAAAGGGAAACAGGAAGAAGGGCACTCAAACTTCCTAAGGATTTTTAAAAGCATTTTTGTTATCTTCCTTTCTGTGGGGTTTTGACATGTTTTAAGACATTACAGATAATAATTAGAATTATTTCCAGTTGGACCACAAATAACACTTACCAATACACTGTGGTAATGACTGGTTCAGTAGCGTGATGGACACTGCAAGCTGACTGGAGTGAATTAACTGAGTGAGGCTTAAGAGAATACTTGCAGAAGTGAGCATTATGAGCATTAAACAGAGCAGTTGTTTAGTCCTGACTTTCACTGGCAGAGCAGCTGTAAGGGAAGCCGCTTCAGCTAACACAGGTTGTTTCATGAAAAGCCTAAAATCTGATCTGTATCTAAGCCTCCTTAGATACAAAAGCTACAGGTTAGTCCAGTGCAATTTTGAGTCAACATAAAAATGAAAGCAACCTGCCACAGAAAACTTCCCATCACTTTGGTCCAGCTTCTTTGCCAAAGAGGCCCAAGAAAGCACTATCTTCTTCAGTTTCAATTGTTATGTTACAACATTACGGAAAGATTCGGAACAGGACTGAGTTGATCTACTTGGGTCAAGCACAAGCAGGAACCAAAACCAATCCAGAGAGATACTATCCTAATTTCATCTCTCTCTACTGCCTTGGATGAGTCTTTGCTTCTCCAGACTTTTAATTTTCCTTACATGAAAGAGGAATAGTATGTGTTTACCTGCTTTGTGGTGTGGGTGTTTAAAGCACTAATCTTCATTTCTGCAGGTCTCTTTCAATGTTACCTAAGCAGTATTGCTAAATACATTTTGAAACCATAGTCATAGATGTGATTCACTAGCTGGTCTGGCCAGTTTGGTAAGAAATTTATTCTCAATTATTTGCAATCAAGGTTTTGCTTTGAGTGATACCATCAGGGGAATCTTGAAGACTCAGATAACAAGAAGTAAATGATTGATATATTTCCACAATGGGCGAAATAGGCAGGAATGTCAAAAAGATTAGAAGGGGCTTCTATTAGCTCATTGCTAACATCCTCTTTACATTGCTATGCCCTAGATTAACAGGAATAATTAATCTTTTAAAAAGAAAAAGCCCCACCTTCATTCAGAAATGCCCAGTGTGGAAAGATACTGAGAGGCTAAAAGGCTGTATTTCTGACAGATTCAAGTGCCAGACTTGGAAATACCAGTTGAATCCTTCGTAAATTCAGGAAATTCATTTGGGAAAGAAGATAGCTAAATGTGCTCAAGTTTGCCCAAAATGTGCCGGAACTGCCAATCTTCTGCTGTAAAAAAGAGGGCTAAACCTGACATGTCAGGGCAGGAATCGAGCTCATAAGTCCTAACCATCTGACTAGTTGCATCTGCCTCTACAACTGGCTCTGTGGGGGAGTGAGTCAACTTCCAGCCAAGACATTGACATTGTCACTAGGAGGATCTTGCTCACATGTGAGCTCTGCCTTCACACAACTGCCTTTAGCTACTTGGCGCTGGAAATTTGAGCCCAGCTATCAAAGACTTAACCAGAGAGCAGTGGTACTTCATCTGACTCCCACATAGTCCTCAGGTAGTTCCAGAATGGAAAAAAATAATCTCAGTTGCAATCCCTAGTCTGACGTTCTGGTGATTTTCGTTCATTTAAATGACAGAAGAGACTTCAGAAATAGGAAAGAAATTTAATCAGGAGCAAGGTGCTATTCCACACTCCTCTTAGGGCAGGCGGTCAAATCCATCCTTGGTGCTACCTCCCTGCAAATCAGAATAGCAGCTAAACTTGTCCAAGTGTGCCAATTTACTTTTGGCTGTGTTTGTCCAACCCTCTAAATTTTGTCTGTGTAATCTGACCCTTTGTTTTGCTCAAGAGAATTTCCTCAAGTCCCCACACAGGAACTGTCTGGCACTGGCATATGAGCTGTCTCAGTTGCCCAGATTACCTCACCTCGTGCTCTGAGGAGGGCAGGAGTGTTACTTTGTCCCACCAGAGCTATAACTGGACACCAAACATGAAAAATAAATACATAAATAAATCTACATCTTCACAAGGTCTGTTTTGTTTTAAGTCTGTTTGTTTTAAAACTCCCACTACTAGCTACCTGCAGTAAGGATCATGCCGCTGGAGCTGGCGCCTAACCACTGCAATTACAGAGCAGGCTGAAAAGGTTGAACCTGAAAACTGCAAAAGCTGACACTGAAGACCCAAGGTGTGCTCTTGCTAACAGCTCATGCTACTAGCTGCACTCGTATTTAAGCATGTTACTCTAGGATAGCAAACAACCACTTTGAAAGAGGAGGCCAGGATCTGTCTGGCATTAGGGCAGTGGTGTTTGGCATAACAGATACATGCCGTTGTCCATGTAAACAAGCCAGTGATGCCTCCTCGTGGGTTGAATCATACATAAATTCTGACTACTGCAGTCCCAACTCTCTTTCAACCACAGAACTGGCTTGCTGAGGGAAAGGAGTGGAGCCTAAGTTTTCTCAATTCATTTTACTGCCTCCAAGACACACAGTACAGCCTCCAGACACTGATAATTGTGTAACAACTTGTCTTCATTTTTGCTTTGAACTCTCAGCAAACAAAGGGGCCAGCTCTGCACTGAGGAGAAGGAATTAAGACAACTGTAATTTTACACCACCTTTCTGGATCGCACTCAGATTTCATAGTTTTAAGGTTGCCTACCAGCTGCTACTCAAATGCATTCTTCTGCAGAGAGCTATCACACCACAGCTCTCCTCCCTGCTCGCTTTCAACATTAACTTTTGCAAATAGGATGGTAGCCCTGTGCTCTGGACAAACCTAATAATCCATGGATAGAATCATAAACTGGTTTGGTTTGGAAAGGACCTTAAAGCCCATTTGGCTCCAATCCCCCTGCCATGGGCAGGGACACCTCACACTAGACCATGTTGCCCAAGGCTCTGTCCAACCTGACCTTGAACACTGCCAGGGATGGAGCATTTACCAGTTCTTTGTACAACCTGTTCCAGTGCCTCACAGTAAAGAACTTCCTTATATCAAACCTGAACTTCCTGTTTAAGTTTAAACCCATTGCCCCTTGTCTTATTGCTACATTCATATTCCCTTTAGAGGCAAAAAAGAAAAATCTATTGTTGGGTATGGTATGATCTACTGAAACTTTAAGGTCTTGAAGTGACATACAATCTGCCTTGCATTTCCTTGTGCTAGGAAAGTGGAAAAGAACACTCATTGTGAGGTTGGACTGTGCTCATCTGTAAACAGGACACTTGAATTGCTGATCATTTTCTTTTAATACAAAAAGCTTTATCTGTGGGAATCCACAAGAACATACAATTAGCTTGCCTTACAAATAGGCTGTTTGTTCTTTTTCTGTTTGGTCTTTCTCCAACAGGTCACTGGACTGCAACAAAAAGAAGAGATTGAAGAAGCTTGTTTTAGTTGTTACTTACTGTACCAACACACACTGATCTTCTACACAAACTGCAATGAGACCCAAGGATGAGGAATTTGTCTTTGTCAGGGGTGAAAGGATCCTTCATGACGTAGCTTTCTTCCAAAAGCCTATAAAAAAAAGAGAGTAATTTCAGGCTTTTAAGGGTACATTTCAGAGTAGGGGAGAGTTGAAAGGCTGGGGCAATTGTGGAGGCTGAAAAGGTATCAGCCCTTTCTACTTGACTTCCTTGGCCTGGTGTTGCACATGAGGCAATGCAGCCCATATGCAGCTCCTTTCCTCTTCAAATACCAACATTGTGGCTGCCTTGAGCCCTGTACTGCACTTCCTATGTGTCTTCTAAAACTAGGGGAATTGGTGATCCTTTTATCATTATCTTACTATGTTTTTCTCAGTGCTCTACCTTGAAGTATTTTCTTATCTTCCATATTTCTTACAGGCTCACCTTAGCACGGCCAACTTCAGTACCTTGTCAAGTTAGCATTTCAATTTCACAGCTTTTTATTAGAAGTTCTATTCCAAAGCTGTGTGCATGGCAGTACAGGAAGTTTTTACTGCTCTTAGTTATGTCACTGCTGTAAAGCTACGGTTCCCACCTCTTGAAAGCTGGAGCTACTGGCACAGAGCTTTGCAATGACCTGGAATATGCTTACTTTATGTCACAGACTCCACTGTTTGCTTCAGGGTATTAAGGGAGTGTATTTATTAATAATTTGGCAATCTGCTTGGGAAAGACTAAGGCCTTATTCTTCCTCTGAGCTCCAGGCAAAGTACTACAGAAGTCACTTGGGTGCCTGTCTGCACATGGCATCCTGCAAGGCTGGCTTATTGTTGGACTTAAACTCGGATTCTGTAGTAACATGGAGTACAATATATATTTTAAAAGACATTCTTTTAATTCATATTGCCTTCTCCTTGTCTACATACATACACACTTATGTGTGCATTTGTGAGTGTATTCCTTTTTCTTTTTAATCTCCACTCAAACAAAAAATGGCATAGCTCAAGCCTTCAATGGGAAAGATTAGGCATTCTATGATTGGAGATCACCTTGTCAACAAGTCTCTCAATACACAAAGACTGGATTACCTTTGCAAAGTTTCCCTTGCAAGATTCACAGTCTTAATGTAGTCATCATCTATGCAGAGACCTGGGCATTATACAAGCCTTTATGTCTGGCATACGTTTCCCGCATCAACTGCATTTAGGACATATGAGTAGGCTAGAAAGAAAGCCAATAAAGGTAGTGTGTAAAGCTATTTCTTATACGCATGTATAGAATTATTATGCTTCAGCATTATTCTTTTGCTTTTTGAATCTCAGTCACCTAAATAAAGCTGAGATGATTAACAGAGAGCTTGGATAACTTAAAGATTATGTTCAGCTTTGATTTAGACTCTTCAGGAATGGACCTGATCAAAGGTAGGCCATTGCTCTGCTGAGTAGAAGAGAGAAAACCAGTAGGAGCGTGGGATTTGGAATGATAAAAATACAGCTGTCCAATAAAAAACAGCCCAAGCAGGTAGTGATCAACAGCTGTGTCCATTTTGTAAGAAATTAGCAGTCTTACTAGGGTGACACACTGAGTACATGCCTGACTTCCAGTTCCAGTGAGTTCCTGGCAATGCTTGCCTGATGGGTTTGTTGACCAGGATGGACAAAACAGAGCAATTCGTACATTTAAAGCTAATTGCTTTGTGCAGTTTAATGCCTGCAGACAATATTGTAATGGCATAGTTTCTGGTCAAACTATCCTTACTTTGCACAGATGGAAAAGGCTTTGGTCTCCTACAGTGTAAATTTGCACTACATTTCCACACACTTAAATACCACACAATGTGCCAAATAATTGTCTAATTCATGCAAAAAAAGCATGGCTGTTCAGAACTCCAAGTCAAACAGCTCTTAAAAAAGTGTTTTTACCATATGTATTTAATTGATTCTGTGTTTACATGTTTCCCAGCTGACACAGCTGAAAGGAGAGGGCTATTTCCAGAACTGATAGGCTGACAATCAACAGCATTCTAGTTAGAAAATATAGTTGTATTCTAGGGTGGTCAGTGGGGTTAGGAAATAAGTTCAATGAAAATCTTTGCACGGTGTTGATGCAGATTTGGAAAGTTGATTTTTGTCTTTGCTATCAATGCTTACAATTTTTAATATTTCTTCCCTTTGGAAATAGGTCACTTTTAAGTACCAAGCCTTATACTCAGGGGCAGTATGATGTTACTGCATTCATGCACTGTATGTCATTCCATGTTACAAGGCTTCTAATGCTCATAGCATAAATGAAATCTGTAATATGAAAGACTGTACTTACACAATAAAGCGTGTGTATGGTGGCTTCTGCCCATAGTACGTGTATGGAGCCGTTAAGTTACATAGCTGACATGTGAACTCTCCTGTAGGCTGAACTTCTTTGGGAGCATCCATCTTTAAGCTACCTACAAGCAACACAAACACCTTTCAGCGCCAAAAAGCAATACTGGGAACATTCCTGCCTGCAAGAAGATTAAACTGATGTGAGACATCTGCCTATGCAGATTAAAATCCAATGGAAAATTGACTACTGCAAACCTTGATGAGTAAATCTTTTCTCCTAAATCAAGTTGGTTTCTCTGTCCCAGTTACACTTACAAATCCCTTAGATAGCTTTAGGCTTGACTATAAAGTTCACCTGTGAATTTGGAACTTGATCCATAAAAAAATTTAGGTAACAAAGCACACGGCTGTGATCTGGAAAACCCTTTGCTCAGCCAAGGCCTACACTCCCTAAGCACTACCCAGGAAATGACTCTCTATATGCTGTGTGGAATCCCAGGTCTGCAGTGCCTGTCTCCTCCTCCCTGCAAATGGAGCCATGAAGGGGTTTGGGACCCTGCTCAGGAGGCAGGCACCAGAAAGGTAGGCACTGCAATGATTTACTACATGTTTTTCTCTGCTTCTGGTTCACCTTCGAATAGTTTTGGAAGCTTAACCCTGGCTCCGTCTTCTTATCTGGCTTCCTATGGAAATGATGCCGATGTAATCACCCTGTGCCTAGATAAGAGTGCTGGCCCATACAAGCCACAGAGGACAGAGGAAGAGGTACCTTTAAAAAAGTTTAGGTTCTATAACTTTTATGAAAATAGGCAGAAGAGGGATACTCTGCTTTACCCTCATGGAGGATACCTATGTATTTCTATGAATCAGAGAATCTGCACATAGGAAAGCTACTGTACCTATCTGAAAGACTTCAGACACTGATTACAAAGGTATAGCTACCTGTCAATGAGATATAAAACCTAGAAAGACATGTTTCATCAGCTTTGATGCTTACAAGATGACTTATTTAACATCTTGGCCATTGGTTTACACTTGGGAGCTCACCCTTCACTAGTACCACTTTAGTTGGGTGTCATACACCAAGCTTTTCAAGAGTGTGGTGTGGCAAGTATGCTTTTAGGACTGGTTTTAGTGTGTATGTATGATCAGATCAAACACAACTAACCATGTATTTGTCCCCAGATTTGCATTATTCACACTTTCCATGGCATGCAGTTTGCTGCTGCAAATCTGCCAGCTTTTTTAAGTGAAGTAAAGGTCACACAAAGCTGTTAGGAAGGTGAGCAGTAGGAACTCAAATTTGAGCAATATCTCAGCAGTTAGGTTGAGTGTGCTCACAGCTGAGCAGATACACGGCCTGCCAAAGGACTGCAGCTGATTCCCGCTCACCTAGCTTTGCAGTCATACCCTTCCCCTACACAGCTGATTCAGTTCACTACGTGAACACTTGGTTTGTATCATGAAGCAGTCTTAAAGCACACAAACTGGACAGTTTCAGATGAAACTAAACTGAAAAATGTGCTCCAGAAGCACACCTAATACACTTCAACCTGAAGACCTAACTAATGGCCATACAGTCTACAGGCTAGCACCAGAGGTAATCTGAAACATCCTAAAATATCGAGTGAGCAGCTGGTATCCAACATAAAGCACCTTGGTTTATGGTTCTATAATAACAAGTAAAAGAACTACCTCTTCTTTTTTTTTTTTTTTTTTTTTTTTTTTTCCTCCAACGTCCTTTTTTGCTCTTATTTTAGGGAACTAAATTGGCTTGCAGAGGAATCCAACAACAGTTAACAGCAGTTCAAGGTAAGAGGCAAAACTACACAACCAGGAGAAAGGGAGGTCTGAGACGAGAGACCTGTATTTCCCTCTTTCAATGACAGTAAGCTGCTATTTCTGCTCACCCTATGTGGTGAAACTGAATCCTTAGGGACATATGCTGCTAAGGTGAATTAGGGGCAAGGTGAAGCAGAGTTGTGACTACTTGTCACCTAATGTTCCAGAAGAACAGGGAGCCCCAGGCTATTCAGAGGTTACAGAGGCTTCATAACAGACATCCAGTTCAGAAAGCCCTACCCTTTTAAATTTCGGGAATAATCTCCCTAACCCCATAATTCTTCCACCATCATCCTTTCTACTTCCATTCCTGTCATTTGAAATTCTTCAAATGTAACACAAATGGGGGTGGATATTGGTTTAATAAATAAATATGACTTATGAATACTTTTGGCAACTACATTTTTTCAAAAGTGATGTAACCCGCAGATATTGTGTATTTTCTCTACCTCACAGGGACGCTTGAGAGGATTTAATTAACTAAAGTGCTTTCAGATTTTTCAGTTAGATATGAGTCATGAACATGCTACCTATTTCTCCCTGTATATTAAAACACAAACGCAACTAAGAATATGCTTTTTGAACCCTGCCTCTGCATTTTAGGATTACTAGGTAAGTCCCCTGAAACATATCTAAATTTACCTTTTCTGTAGGTAGTCAGCAGCATTATCAAGACACCAACCTGGCTGAATGAGATTCAGTCCAGTACATTGTATGTAATTTTTTGTAACCAATCTTCTTTTAAAGCGGGAAATAATTAACCCCACACAGGTAGCGTATGGAAAGTCACTTGAATCAAACAGAGAAGAATATCACGGTGATATTTTCTTTAAAATAATGCAAAAGACTCAGAACAACAACAACAAAAAAGAGTATTTATGGCAGTGAGGGTCATAGACTTTGGAATGAATGTGTGCTGATTCCAAGTCAAAATAACAGCCATGGGTTCAGAGCTGAAGTACGTTAGATATAGAAACACCTGCTCTCTTATAGTCCATTGGCATGTAGAACAGAATCTGTTCAGTGACTACCACTGGGAAGGAATGATATCTATGTACAAACAGATTTTTGGCTATGCCAGTTGAAAAGCATATGACCCTGCCTGCAAGACACAGATGAATTTATGATGCTTTCCATTTTACTCCCAGCTTACAAGTCACTGGTATCAGCTGTATCACTGGTATAAAATTGGTATCAGTTTTATTTCCCTGGGAACATCATTTGTCTACACAGCAGCACTTGGGAATGTTAAAGTTACCAACTCAAGGTGTAAAGTGAATGTATAGATTTCAGAGCGAATGCTTCAATTCAGAAGTTATATTTATTAGTTACATATATTGCTATATAACCAAGTAAAGCCATTTCCCTTCTTATGAAGGAGATTCAATGGCAAATGTAACAAGCTTTTAGTTTATGCATGTGCTTCACACCTTTAGTCTAAGCAACCAAGCAAACAAGTCCTAAGATGTACTCTCTCACAAGGCTTCCAAAAACCTTGTATGCAATTAAAAGAACAGTATGTCAGAGAGCAAACACACAGAAGCAAATCTGGAATAAAACCACAGTCGAGACAAATACTGGTTTATCACAAAGTAAGTTTGTTGGTTTGTCTCCACACACCATCTTAGTAAGATGCCTGATATGACAACTATGACAGGGTGTCTGCCTCCCCTCCACACAGACATATGAAGAGTGAGTGAGAACTTGTTTCTTTCTAGTATGCCAACAACAGGATGAAGGATCTCTTGAGCAGATAAAAGTCTAGGCCTTCATAATAATGACAGGCAAATTTCTGATCTCAAATGACTCAAATCATCACCTGTGCTACCACTGGCTTTTTGTCCTTTCCCTGAAAATTTCTGAAGCAGCAACATGTCCCAGTAACACGTCTAATATCTGCCTGGCTGGTACTGAAGAAGTCTTTCAGAACAGCTTGTTTAGAACTAAACTCTGCCCAAGCGTTTGCCATTTTGGCTGGAAGCTGCAAGGTACTTAAACACATACTTACTTTAAGCACATGCATAGCTCTCCTGAAAAGAATACGGCTACCCACACATGCTTGATTACGAAGCAAACTCTGAACTAGCATGCTCAGCAGAAACTTGCCAAGTCTAGCCCAGAATGCTGCAGGACGTGAGGTTGGCCCACGTGTCATGGTGAAAGGTAAAGAACACAGATTTGCATGCCATACTAAGGAAATAATCGCAATGAAAGAAAGGCGCAGGTTAGACAGTGATACAGGAGTGTTTCTCCATGCTGTCTGTGACTGATACATGATATGGATGTGGGGTAGTGGCTCTCAGTGTTGTTCTCTAGGGACTCCTAAAAACTTCAGGGCAGTTCTGCTTAGAGTGTTCTGCTAACAGGCCTGGAAGGCATGCCAGAAATAATAAATCACCATTAAATTGTCAGGGTCAGTGGCAAAGTAGCAGCACAGATAAGTAACCTGATTTTCTTTGCTTCAAACCTCATTAGCACAAGTCTTTACAATGCACAGGTTAAGCCCCTCTTAATACTCCACAGGAGACTCATGTATTTCTAAGTCACTGATAAACTAGAGAAACTATACAAGAAACAAACTGCCTACAGATGCAGGCTTTGATTTGAAAGGGTGTCAGATAAAACCAACATTGACACACCTTTAATCCTCTCCAATTAAACCCTTGTTTCTTTCACTTGCCAAGATTTTCCTTCAGTATCCACTCTTGATGACAAAAGCCTACTATAATATTCACAGCTTGATTCTCTATGGGAAAGAGTGTTTTCTACTAGAAGGGCAGGAGCCAGTAAGTTCATAGCCTGGTAAATGCTAACTTATTTTGCAGTATGTGGTGTGACATAAATTTAAATACACTTTGGCACCAAGAATGCACTCGTCTCCTTCAGAAAATTGCCTAATTGCTTAGGTAGTAAATGAAACAGCAGAACCTTCTTACTTACTAGTTAATCCCCAGGTGAACAGTTCTCTCCCTCCAGTTCCTCCACGTTACTGGCCTGAAGGCATGTTTAGGTCGCCTGTTGGCTGCCTCCCTGCTCTTCCTTTGAGGTGGCTTACCTTGGGTTCAGCATAACAAATTAGCCCAGGAATGCAATTTCACCAACCATGGCCACTTTTTACTCTTTACGTCTTTTACCCTTACTACCTCTTGCAAAGATCACTCGATTGAATTAAACCTTGACTTGTTGCAGCAACTTCTCCCTTCAGGCTGTGGGGACTGTGCTGGTATTGCTATGCTTTCTCTTCTCTGAAGGAACTGAGATTGCTGCAGCACACAGGCTT